TTTTTTTTTCAGTGCGCATCAGCCCCATACCAAGTACTACCAAGTACTACCAACTGAGCTAAGCCCATCGGTACCACTCTTGTTTTATTTTCTTTTTTCAGTGCGCATCAGCCCCACACTGTAACGCTTCCGACTCGTCGATGTCAGGTGAAGCGGAAAAGAAAGTTTTCACCCTTTTGTGATCTGGTACTCTTTTTTGGTACTCTGTTTTTCACCATCCTGTGCTCTCACCGTGTTTTTTGTAACCACCTGTCTTTTCACCACCCTGTGCTCTCACCTGTGTCTTTTTCCGCCCACCCTGTGCTCTGGTATGCCAGTGTTTCCCGATGTTTGCTTTTTTTTAACCAGCCACCATTTGCTCTCACCTGTGTTTTCCCCTTCTCTCTCTCTCTCTCTCTCTCTCTCTCTCTCTCTCTCTCTCTCTCTCTCTCTCTCTCTCTCTCCTTGTGTGTGTGTGTGTGTGTGTTGTTATCATTGCTTCTCCTTGTGAATCTCTGTAGCTGTCAGTCGCAGATCCTGGTTCATTTACCACTTAACTCAAGCTTCCCTGCAGTCCCAGGAATGAATTACTATGGACTGTGGAGACCAATGGAATGCCATGCCTCGTTTAGCGGTTGACGAGAAGCAAAGCCGAGTAGAATGACAAGGAGGAGATCAAATTTCAAAGCCTGGACTGCCATGACAGATGACAAAGGCAGTAAGCACTTTGTGCTCGAGGCTGTACTTTCACAGTGAACGCAAAAAGTTCATGGCATGCAACACTCAGTCGGGTAAGTTACAACTTACCAGGCAGTTAATTTTGTTACCCGGATGTTAAGCTCGTTACCAAACTACAGTTGAGTAAGTTACCACGCAGTTGATTCATTTCCCAGACTGTTGCTGAACAGCTGGTTAACCAGACATTTTTGAGTTTGTTTAACTTTGTTAGCTGGCATTTGAGTTAAAAATGTAGCACATTTCAGTTAAGTGTCCAGACAGTTTGGTACCAGAAAAAGCTTGTTACAACTGACAAGGCAGTTATTAGCCATAAGACATTTGTTTCGTCGCATAGTCCAGTTAGTTACCAGGCTGGTAAGTTAGTCCCCGGGCAGTTAAGTTAGTTACCACGCTGGTAAGTTAGTTACCGGGCAGTTAAGTTAGTTACCAGACTGTTAAGTTAGTCCCCGGGAAGTTAAGTTAGTTACCAGGCCTTTAAGTTAGTTACCAGGCTGTCAAGTTAGTTACCAGGCAGTTAAGTTAGTTACCAGGCTGTTAAGTTAGTCCCCGGGCATTTAAGTTAGTTACCAGGCTGTTAAGTTAGTTACCAGGCAGTTAAGTTCTTCTTAACCAAAAGTGTGGTTGAGTTAGTTACCATGCAGTTGAGCTTGTTCCCAGACTGACACTGGAGGGTTAATCCGAACCGCAGTCAAGTTAGTTGCTCTTTTGCTACCACGATGAGATTAAGCTTGTTGAACTTTGTTACTATGCTGTTTAAGTTATTAATCAACTCATGGTTGAATGAGTTAACATGTTAGTTGAGTTTGTTGCCAGACTGTCTCTCGCTAGAAGGGTATGGGTATCCAAACCACAGTTGAGTTAGTTACCTTGCAGCTGGAATTTTTGTTGACATCTGCGGCACGACAACAACTCGGAATCCGCCGAGTGTAATTGCCCGTTCGGAGGAGCAGGACTTTCGAAGTTTCTCGGTTGTACGTGACATCGAAGATTCAGTAGGAACGAGTTACAGTGTGGGACTGATTGATGCGCAGTTGCGGAGCTGCGCATCTGTGACCGGAATTTGTTGATGTCATCAAGAAAAGTTTTGGACAACATCATCACTTCCCCTGTCTGCTACCCTCTTCCCACAAGCAGAACACCTGGTGGTCATTACCACAGTAATATCACTGCGTCTAGCCACGTACGCGGCTTATATACATTCATGATGACTGGAATTGTATTTGCTGGAAGATGGTGGTTGTCATTCATAGATAGATGGCCAGGATTATGCACAGCACAGCTCTTTTTGAACATTCCCATCTCCCACTGCAAACCCCCCACTGAACCCTTTGCAACTCGCAATTGGCCATTGCCACCACCATCTTATGACTTTTTTATATTTCTGATGAGAGGATTTTGTAATCCAGCAATGAAATTTGTCGTCGCTCGTGTATTTGCTCATTCATGATGATCGGTGTCAGTGCTTTGCGCATATGCCGAGGTCCGAGGAGACTTTCTGTGAAGGTGTTTTGGATGTCGTCCAGTATCACGGTCCACTTCTCCTCTAGAGTCAGCTCTCCTCCTCTCCCACCTCAGATCCATCAGCCCCGCTGTGGAAACCTATTCTTCTATTTCATCATTCTGTTAATGGCAACCAGTTCTCATCACTCTAACAGGCTTCTCTTCTGCCTCTCCGCCACCAGAACAGAACAACTCTCTCTCTCTCTCTCTCTCTCTCTCTCTCTCTCTCTCTCTCTCTCTCTCTCTCTCCTGTCTCTTATACACATCTAGATGTGTATAAGAGACAGCTCTCTCTCTCTCTCTCTCTCTCTCTCTCTCTCTCTCTCTCTCTCTCTCTCTCTCGGTGTGTGTGGGTGTGGGTGTGTGTGTTGGCAGCATGGAGCACAGCACAAGGCACACAGCTCCAGCGCGAGGCAGAATGTAACGGATACACAAGCAGCAAGAATACCTTGCTGCTTTAAGCGGCCTGGCTGGGCCAAAGGAACAGCCCAGATCAAATGGTGTGAGGTGCTGGGATGCGGCCTCTGTGTGAGGCCAGCATTGTTCTAGTAGGTCTGGATAACTTCAGAAACTTTACCTGTGCCCTTGGATCTGTGTGGTCTTCTGACAGGTTAGGGGCCCTGCAGACCCTGGCCGGCCCTAGCCCTGCACACCAAATCTTCATCGACCCTAGGACTGGACACAAACATCATAGACCCCGTTTACAGTGGAACATGGGCCTTGCTGTTTAAATCTAGGGCTGCTGTGGAGCCTTCTTGAACACCAGACCAGACTCAGGCTTTGGGGAAGTTGTTTCCGCGCTGAATTTTGGGGTCTTCAAACTCCCCCATCCTCAACATTTCCGATTCAGTATATTGACACCCCCCCAGTGGCTCACCCTCCCTCCTTATACCCCCGTTTCTTTCCTGCGCACAGCATTTTAGGGACCCTTCCACATCCCCTCACCGCTCTTGCCTTGCGGATACATCAGCCTGCTTGCCCACTTTGGGTGTTCGCAGACATGTTTTGCAGGCCCCACTGCAACTTTGACAGACATGTCTGCATGCTCAGGGTTCCAAATGGGGAGATGATTAGCAGACGAGCAGACATGTCCCCTTATGGATGTCCGCATCTCTGGTTGTTGTTTGGGGTCAGGTTCAATGTATTATGTTGTTTTCAAGGTTGTTCTGTGTACATTTCTGGAAGTAACTAATACTATACTTGATGTGTACACAGAACAAACTTGAAAATAACATAATACATTGAACGGCGAACGGGAAGCGGGTGCACAGCCAAACGACAAGGCAATCAGCAGGGAAGCACTATGAGCGGCAGGCAACAAGGCAGCAAAGCAACAAAACAGCAAGGCAACAAGAAAGCAAGGCAGAAAATTTTAAAAAGGTTGTGTGTGTGTGTGTGTGTGTGTGTGTGTGTGTGTGTGTGTGTTTTGATGTGTGTGCTTCAATGCACCCCATGGCAAGTTACACTATGCCAGGTATAATCTCCGATGACAGGTCATCGGCACACCTCTAGCTTAGGTAACATTCGCAAGTATGGTAGATTTTATCTGTAGTGGCGAAAAACGAAATCTACTCGAGTTTCTGAGTAATACCGCGTTCTCATGAAAACACAGCCGCTGTTCATCATATAACAATGTAACCAGTATTCGTCCAAACAAGGTAGTCGTCCGACAGTCAGTTTCGAACAACACAAACAGTGGATAAGGCAAGTACCAAAAAAATTACGACAACACTAGGTTTGAGGGCATTGGGGAGGCGGGAGGGCAGACAACACACCAGCACATAAGGCAGGGAAACGGCAACAACCAACGAATAAGGCAAGTACCAAAACAAAGAAAATTGAAAAAAACAAAAAATAAAAACTGATGATGATAGATTGTTTCGTCGGAGTTGCACCGACTCATCAGGAGGCTGAACCCTCGACAATCTGCGGAATCCCTGTATTTCATGGTTTTGGTCATGAACCCTTTGACCCTTGTTGGAGGCAGACTGTCCCCAAGAGGAACAGAGCAGCGGGCAGCAACCCTGTGAAGCACCAGGCAACACAGTAGAGGCAACACGGCTGCACAACGCCAAAAACGACTGCAAGGAACGACGTGGCACGCAGCGCGGCAGCCGTGTAGTGAAGCACAAGGCAACACAAACAAAGCAACAGCACTGCCGAGAATGACAGAGTGAGCGGACCCACAGGTCGGCAACCGTGGAGCGGAGCACAAGGCACCATCAACAAGGCAACCAACCTACAGGGCACACAAGCAGCGAGCACGGAAGGCACGGCCAGCGGATGAGCAGCACGGCAGCGGAGCAGCGAAGCGCAAGGCAACACCAACAACACGGCCACACCGCACTGCGAACACATCGACCTCGAAAGAACCACACGCGAAGCAAGCGGGACAGGCAGCAGGGCAGCGGCGGAGCGCAGACGAGGACGTCCACACATCCAACACGGAGCAAAGCAGCACATGACCTACTCACATCACGATTGAACCCCACAAACTGTTGGTTCCCACCACCCACTGAGCCAGGGAGACACTCCGACGAGCATCCGTCATCACCCATAGGCAACACAGACATCCCGAACCGAGCGGCCCCCCTAAGAGTGCAGTTGGCACTCCAAACGAGGACCCACCGACTGTTTGGCACTACTTAAGGGTGCTCAGTTGGGCACACAGAAAAATACTTAGAAAAAATTAGAGGGAGGACGAGCAACAGGAAAAAGACTGGCAGATAGAAAACTGAATGTGTGTGTGTGTGTGTGTGTGTGTGTGTGTGTGTGTGTGTGTGTGTGTGTGTGTGTGTGTGGTGTGTGTTGTATACAACTAAATGACAGAGGCATGACTGTGCCAGACTGTTTCCTTGGACATTCATCGGCTCATCAGGAGATTGAACCTTGATAGTCTGCCCAGGATGCTTTTGACTGATGGATAAGGACTCGCCACACTGCCCGGAGTTAATCATACCGCTGAGAAAAGTGATTGGGCTTTACTACGCCAGGCCCGCAATCCTAGCAGCTTTCATTGCAAACCCCTGATAAGAATGGCAGTAATTTTGTGTATAACGTGTGTGCCCATTTGATACACATCATGGTGCTAACTGCACCCCCATGTTCAGAAGCACATGTTTTCCGCACCTCCCATGATGGAATGTAGTAGTGGGGATGTTACATGCTGAAAGCCTACACACGGGCCCCTCACGGGACCCGAGGTTGGAATAGGGCCCCCAGGTCGCGTCACCGCAACCTAAAGGCCCTATGGCATTTTTACTTGGGCCTGCATCAGAAAAACGCCAGCTTTAGATTATTTTTATAGTCTTTATTTTATTTATTTGCTGCTGTTTTTCTAACGGGTGTACTGTTGTCCGTTTTGTGGCCAGGTACACGCTTCTAGGGCCAGGGCCAGATTCAGGCCCAGAGGCTGAGCTCCTAAAAACGTTTGGACCTTTTCTTTTGTTTTCGAACAGATTTTGACCTGTTCGAACCCAGGCCGACGTTGAGGCCGGGTACGTCCGCACAGGACCGGTTTGAAGCCAGGTACCAGGAAGATTAATCCTGGACAGGGCCTGGACGTCCGGTAGGGACCCAGGCAGGCCGTTGTAGGCCAAGGACTGAACCAGTTATCGAAGCCTGCGATCTGGACCGTGGATCGGAGTTTCGATCTGCACAGTCCAGAACGCAGGCCGTGGGTTTTCAGTCCTGGCCCAGCACTACTTAAGCTGGGCCATTGAACAGTTCCGACACACAGAAGGTACCAGGAGAAATCCAGCGTTATGCTGGTTCAGGAACTTGGCTGCTGCGCTATTTTGGAGACTCCCTGCTGCGCCATTTCGAGACTGCAGCTGCGCTGCTCATCGGCCATGAGGCACAGCGCTGGAGGAGTCCAGCGCCGAGGAGGGTAGTGGAGTTAGAGAGAGAGAGAGAGAGAGAGAGAGAGAGAGAGAGAAGAGGACTTACCTGCCCAGTGCCATAGCTGGCTCCGCGGTATCTGCAAGTTCAGCCATCGCACTTACACTCTACATTGGGATTGAACTGTGTGCGACATTCGGAGATCAGACTTGGGTTGGACTTGGCGACCTCTATGTCCCTCCCCCTTCTCTCTCGCATGTCTATGGATCTCTCCCCATGTGTGTGAGCGGAAGGGCAATCTTTCTGGTGTCTTGCCCTTCC